GGCATTGTTTCTGAGGCCTCTGTTTTGTTCCATTGGTCTGTATCTCTGTTTGATACCATACCAGTACCATACTGTTTTGATTACTGTAGACTTTTAGTATAATTTGAAGTCGGGTAGTGTGATGCCTCCAGCTTTGTTCTTTTTGCTTAGGATTGTCTTGGCTATGCGGGCTCTCTTTTGGTTCCATATGAAGTTTAAAGTGGTTTTTTCCAGTTCTGTGAAGAAGGGCAATGGTAGCTTGATGGGGATAGCATTGAATCTATAAGTTACTTTGGGCAGTATAGCCATTTTCACAATACTGATTCTTCATAACCATGAGCATGGAATATTTTTCCATCTGTTTGTGTCCTCTCTTATTTCCTTGAGCAGTGGTTTGTAGTTCTCCTTGAAGAGATCTTTTACATCCTTTTGTTAGTTGTATTCCTAGGTATTTTATTCTCTGTGTAGCAGTTGTAAATGGGATTTGCTCATGATTTGGCTCTTTGTTTGTCTGTTGTTGGTGTATAGGAATGCTTGTGATTTTTGTATATTGATTTTCTATCCTGAGACATTGATGAAGTTGCTTATCAGCTTAAGGAGGTTTTGGGCTGAGTCAATGGGGTCTTCTAAATATACAATCATGTTGTCTGCAAATAGGGACAATTTGACTTCTTCTTTTCCTAATTAAATGCCTTTATTTCTTTTTCTTGCCTAATTACTCTGGCTAGACCTTCCAATAATATTGAATAGGAGTGGTGAGAGAGAGGGCATCTTTGTCTAGTGCTAGTTTTTAAAGGGAATGCTTCTTTTTTTGCCTGTTTAGTATGATATTGGCTGTGGGTTTGTCATAAATAGCTTTTATTATTTTGAGATACATTCCATTGATACCTACTTTCTTGAGAGTTTTTAGCATAAAGAACTGTTGAATTTTGTCAAAGGCCTTCTCTGCATCTATTGAGATAATGATGTGGTTTTGTCTTTGATTCTGTTTATGTGGTGGATTATGTTTATAGATTTGCACGTGTTGAACCAGCCTTACATCCCCAGGATGACGCTTGCTTGATCATGGCGGATAAGCTTTTTGATGTGCTGTTGGATTCGGTTTACCAGTGTTTTATTGAAGATTTTTGCATCTATGTTCATCATGGATATTGGCCTGTAGTTTTCTTTTTTATTTGAGTCTCTGCCAGGTTTTGGTATCAGGATGATATTGGTCTCATAGAAAGAGTTAGGGAAGATTCCCTCTTTTTGTAGTGTTTGGAATAGTTTCAATAGGAATGGTAACACTCCTCTTTGTATGTCTGGTAGAATTTGGCTGTGAACCCCTCTGGACCTGGACTTTTTTTGGTTGGAAGGCTATTAACTGCTGCCTCAACTTCAGACCTTGTTATTGGTCTATTCAGGATTTCAACTACTTCCTGGCCTAGTCTTGGGAGTGTGCAAGTGTCCAGGAGTTTATCCATTTCATCTAGATTTACTGGTTTATGTACATAGAGTTGTTTGTATTAATCTCTGATGGTAGTTTGTATTTCTAAGGAATCGGTGGTGATCTCCCCTTTATCATTTTTTATTGCATCTATTTGATTCTTCTCTCTTTTATTTTTGTTAGTCCAGCTAGCGGTCTATTTTGTTGATCTTTTCAAAAAACAGCTCCTGGATTTTTTGAAGGGTTTTTTGTGTCTCTGTCTCCTTCAGTTCTGCTCTGATCTTAGTTATTTCCTGTCTTCTGCTTGCTTTTGAGTTTTTTTAATCTTGCTCCTCTAGCTCTTTCAATTTTGATGATCGGGTGTTGACTTTAGATCTTCTTGTTTCTCATGTGGGCATTTATTGCTATAAATTTTCCTCTAGCCACTGCTTTAAATGTGTCCCATAGATTCTGGTACCTTGTGTCTAAATTCTTGTTGGTTTCGAAGAACATATTTATATCTCCCTTCATTTCATTGTTTACCCATTTGTTATTCAGGAGCAAGTTGTTCAGTTTCCATATGATAGTGCAGTTTTGAGTACTTTTCTTAATCCTGAGTTCTAATTTGATTGCACTGTGGTCTGAGAGACTGTTTGTTATGATTTTTGTTCTTTTGCACTTGTTAAGGAGTGATTTACTTCCAATTATGTGGTTAATTTTAGAGTAAGTGTGATGTGGTGCTTGCATATCCTTATTGACTTTCTGTCTTGTTGATCTGTCTAATATTGTCAATGGAGTGTTAAAGTCTCCCACTTTTATTGTGCGGGAGTCTAAGTCTCTTTGTAGGTCATTAAGAACTTTATGAGAGCTTTATGTATCTGGGTGCTCCTGCATTGGGTGCATATATATTTAGGATCGTTTGCTCTTCTTGTTGCATCGATCCTTTTACCATTATGTAATGCCCTTCTTTGTCTCTTTTGATCTTTGATGGTTTAAAGTCTGTTTTATCAGAGACTAAGTTTACTACCCCTGCTTTTTTTTGGCTCTCCATTTGCTTGGTAGATCTTCTTCCATCCCTTTATTTTGAGTCTGTGTGAGTCTCTGCATGTGAGATGAGTCTCCTGAATGTAGCACAGCATTGGGTCTTGACTTTTTATCCAGTTTGCCAGTCTCTGTCTTTTGATTGGGTCATTTAGTCCATTTGCATTCAACGTTAATATTGTTATCTTTGAATTTGATCCTGCCTTTGAATTCAAAATACCTTTGAATTTGTTGCTGGCTGGCTATTTTGCCTGTCAGTTGACGTGGTTTCTTCATTGCATCGTCGTTCTTCACCATTTGGTATGTTTTTGCAGTGGCTGGTACTGGTTGTTGCTTTCCCCGTTTTGTACTTCCTTCAGGACTTCTTGTTAGGCAGGTCTTGTTGCGACGAAATCTCTTAGCAATTGCTTGTCCGTAAAGGATTTTATTTCTCCTTCACTTATGAAGCTTAGTTTGACCGGATATGCAATTCTGGATTGAAAGTTCTCTTCTTTATGAATGTTGAATATTGGTCCCTACTCGATTCTAGCTTGTAGAGTTTCTGCTGAGAGATCCACTGTGAGTCTGATGGTCTTCCGTTTGTGGGTGACTGGACCTTTCTCTCTGGCTGCCCTTAGGATTTTTTCCTCCATTTCCATCCTGGTGAGTCAGATGATTATGTGCCTTGGGGTTGCTCTTCTTGAGGAATATCTTTGTGGTGTTCTCTGTATTTCCTGGATTTGAATGTTGGCCTGCCTTGTTATTTAGGGAAGTTCTCTTGGATAATATCCTGAAGAGTGTTTTCCAACTTGGAATCTTTCTCCCTGTCACATTCAGGTATGCTGATCAAGTATAGATTAGGTCTTTTTACATAATCCCATAGTTCCTGGAGGCTTTGTTTGTTTCTTTTCACCCTTTTTTTCTGTAATCTTGCCTTCTTGTTTTATTTCATTGATTCGATCTTCTGTCTCTGATATCCTTTCTTCTGCTTGATTAATTCAGCTATTGAAACATTTTTTTTTTTTTTTTTTAAGACTAGTCAAGTGCAGTAGTGAGAAGGAGGGAAAGAGTAGAACAAGGAGTTCGATCTGTAACTGATTGCGAACAATCAATTGAGATAACTCACTACCTTCGGACCAGCGGGCTGTTGAAACTTGTGTATGCCTTGTGAAGTTCTCGTGTTGTGTTTTTCAGCTCCATTGGGTCATTTATGTTTTTCTCTAAGCTGGTTATTCTAATTAGCATTTCGTCTAACCTTTTTTCAGGGTTCTTAGTTCTTTGTGTTGGGTTAGAACATGGTCTGTTAACTCACAGAAGTTTGTTATTACCCACCTTCTGCAGCCTGCTTCTGTCAATTTGTCAAACTCTTTTTCTGCCTTGTTTTGTTCCCTTGATGGTGAGGAGTTGTAATCCCTGGGAAGGGAAGAGGTGTTCTGGTCTTTGATGGTTTCATCCTTTTTGCACTTTTTTTTTTTCCCCATCTTCATGGATTTATCTCCCTTTGATCTTTTAAGTTGGTAATTTCAGGAGAAATCTCTGAGTGGACATCCTTTCTGTTGCGGTTGGACCTATATCTTTTTTGGCCTGTAGAGGGCTGCTGGGCTGCCTCAGATTCAGTCGGTTCGCTGGGTGGGTGGTCTTCCCCTGGGGTTTGTTTGCAGGTGAAATTAGCCCCGTCTTCCCTGAGCTCTATCTTCCTGGTTGGGGTGAAATTGGTGTATTTGCTGCCAAGCAATCTGGTGCCCCAGCTTCAGTTTGAGTTTTGTTGGGGGTGTGGCCTGCCAGGCCTTATGACCTGTTTCCCTGCTTTTAACTCTGCCTCTTTCTGTGGGACCAGTTGTTTGGGCCTGCTGGCATTAGTCCAAACTTCCGCCTATGTCCTGCTGACAGCTTAAGGCACCAGGCACGAGCTGTTGCTGATTTGCATTGCCCATGGCACCCCTCAGTCTGGTGGGGCTCTTGTGGACCATGGGTTGCAGCAGGGATGAGGTAAGCACAGGATCTGAATGGGAGCTCAGAATGGGTGAAGTCCCCCCCGACCCTTCGAGCCAGGTGCACCTTCCAGTTGGGGATGAGCCCCCACCCTGTCTTGGTTCATCTTCCCTCGGCTGCTCTCGCCTTGCTTTGGCTCCTTCCCTGGACTATACTCAGAGTCCTCCCAGTACCCCCGAAATGAGCCTGGCACCTCATTTGGAATCCTGAAGTCCTCTAGCCCTCTGCATCTCATTTGCTGGGAGCTGCCTTCCGTGTTGCCTCCTCTCTGCCATCTTGATGCTGCCTGGTTGATGTTTTTATGTGGTGCTCTTAGCCTCTTAGAGTTTGCCAAAATTTAAAGTAGACCAAGTTAATGAATGTATTTCATAGCATAGATTATGGACAGTCCTTTCTGCCTGCTAAATTCAGTTCAGCTCTGACGGTGAATACCTAATGTGTTCAGAGAACTGTGGGGGATTTAAAAACACTTTCTAAGTAGGAAGAGGTATAAATAAGTGATTAAAAGCAATCATAAGTTACTGTAGACACTACATTATGCAGTCTTCTTAATTTTTGTGTGCCATTTCTAAATGGTTGCAGATTTTTCTCCTTTTATTTTCAGCATTTAATGCTTTGTATTGGCTCTTGATATATGGAGTTTGGATTATGGAAGGTAAGGGGGAGATTTTAATTTATATGGAAATCTATGGAAATTATTTCTTACAGAAAAACTGAAAATAGAGAAAATAAAAAAATACAATTTTGTAAATCCAGGGAAGCAGGACAGTTGTGGCCTAATAATACCCTTTTGTGTTGGCAGACAGATTTGCTGCTATTATGACACTTTGCTTAAGGAATGAGAGCATCGTGGTGAATGCAAACGTATACACAGCTGTTCGAGCTCGCTGCTCAGCTTTCTGGATTCCTTAAGCTGTATCACTTTTGG